AATTTCTGTATCATTCCCATGATTTTTGGAGAAAAAAATAGCATATTTGATGAGCTTCTGAAAAAGCTGCCATAAAAGGGGTTGTGGTCTGAATGTTTGAATCCACACAAAAATTTAAATGTTGAAATCCCAACCCCAAGAAGATGATATTAAGAAGTGGAGCCTTTTGCAGACAGATTAGGTCTTGAGGACAGAACCTTCATGAATTGGATTCGGTACCTTATAATAGAGTCCCAAGTGAGGTTTCTTGACCCTCCACCACATGAAGATCCAGTAAGAAGGTGTCATTCTGTGAACCAGGAAGTGGTGTCTCATCAGACATTGAATCTGGGGCACCTTGATCTTGGACTTCCCAGCCTCCAGAACTGAAATAAATTTGTTATTTATAGACTATCTAGTCTATGGTATTTTGTTATAGCAGCTGAATGGACCATTCAGGTTTCCCCCAACCTAAGTATTTATACATCACAGACATCTCTGCATCTCCTTGAACACTGGTTGACAAAGGGCATCTCAGGAGTCAAAGGGACACAACCTCACCGGCATGCTGGGAAACAAGCATCTTATGACCATCCCCTCCCCTGGTCAATATGCAAGGCACTGGGGTGGGCTATAGGTATGATTTGAGAGTAGAAAATTAAGGTTTTACTTCCCAAATCCACATAGCCCTTGGTTTTCTTGAAAGGATCCTAATGCTCTGAGCAATTTCTTTTATTTACATGGAAAGTAGCCAAAGAAAGGCATTGTAATAATAGTTTACTTTGGTAATAATAGTTTACTTAGGTTTAAGGAACAATTCCAATCTAACAGCCATCAAGAAATACTGATTATGCCTGCCTGCACACCCTGAGCTGTAAAAGGTGTTAACATTATCATGCTAGTTCTACAACTGCCCTCACTCTGGTGAGGCTAAGTAAATACTTAGTGATAGACTGATGGCCCCAGTTCCCAAACTGAAGGACTGCAGTTTAAAAACCCATAAAGGCCAAAGAGGGGATCTGAAAGTACAGGTGCAGAATGGAAAGGGAGAATAATCTTTAGAAGTGAAGTCCGAGGATCCCCAGTAATTGTATTTCCTCATCTAGAATTACATAAGGTGTATTTGAAACTATCAACATGCACAGTGCCAGACCCAGTGCAAATTCTTTTTTTTTTTTTTTAGAGAGAGAGAGAGAGAGAGAGAGAGAGAGACTTTTTTAATATTTATTTTTTAGTTTTCAGTGGACACAACATCTTTGTTTTTATGTGGTGCTGAGGATTGAACCCGGGCTGCACGCATGCCAGGCAAGAGCGCTACCGCTTAAGCCACATCCCCAGCCCCGCAAATTCTTAATAAATATTCTTCTTCTTTCTTTTTTCTATCCTTGTTCAAAGGGGAATCATWTAGACTTTAGCAAGAAGTTTTAATGGTATGTGAGAGTTGGCATACAGAGGACAGGTGAATTTTAAGAAACTGAGTCTCATTGGAATTGTGGGAATCACAGATGGAAGAGAGGTTTGAAGAAGAAAACAGATCAAGAAAAATGAGTTGTCCTTAAAGCAATAATGAAAAAAATCTAGAGAAAGTGGTTAAAAGGAAAGAGAGGTTGAGAGAAAAAAAATGTGAGTTAGCTAACAGAAAAAATTCCAAAGGACCTGAAAACAATGGACTCACCATGAGATGACCACTGCTTACAGTGACCTCTGCAGAAGAAAGAACAGACTGGCTTTTCTGTTCTGTTCACAGTCTTCCCCAGCAGACCATGAACTTGCCAAGGGATACCCAGCAGCTTTATTTTCCCCATATTTGTCTATATCTCCTCACAAATAACCTAGTTATTATTCACAGTGCAGGCAGCCAAAGTAATCCTTTTAAAAGACAAATCTCATTGTATCTCTCCTCTGCTCAAAAACTAAAACTGTTAGGCTGGGGTATAGCTCAGGGTTAACGTGTGTGCTTAGCATTTGTGAGGCCCAAGTTCAATCCCCACCTCCAAAAAAACAAAAWCAACAACAAAAGAAACCAAACCAAATCAACTAAAACCTTGAAGAAAACCACAGTCCTCTTAGTTATATACAATGACGTGCATGGTATGACCCCGGCTCACTTCCAGCCCTCATCTGATCCCCTTTCTCCCACTTTGGTCCAGCCACAGTGGCCTTTACAATGTTCCCTGTTGATGCCGAACTGGCCACTGGCTCAAGGCCTTGGGACTTGCTGTTCCTTCCATATCTCTCTCTCTATATATAGATATATAGATATATAGATATAGATATAGATATAGATATAGATATAGATATAGATATAGATATAGATAGATATAGATATAGATATAGATAGATATAGATATACATATACAGACACACACATATATATAAGTATACACACATAGATATACACATATATGTATAATGTATACATACAAAATACAGTTACTTAAGGACTATATATATACTACATACATAGTGTAATTATATATACTTATATATTTGTGTGTGCATATATATGTATATATAAAATATATATACACATACATATATATGTATATGTACATATGTGTATATATGTGTGTGTGTGTATATATATATACATATATATATATATATATATATATATATAAATTCTATCAAAACAAGGACTTTGCTTTGTTTACTCTAGCATTAGATATTCTCATAAGATATGGATTTTAACCTTGACTGTGCTGCCAACCTTGAACCTAGCTCTTGCACATTATGCCAATAGCCTCTCCTCAAAGATCTGATGTCAACAGAACTTCATTCTGAGGCATTGTTAGTTAAGGTTTCATATGAGAAACAAGATGAAGAGAAAAGAGTTGAAGTTACAATCAATTTAAAGTGATCTACAATCAAGGAGTGAAATATCTGCATTTGAGGCCCCATGCAGAGAAACTGGTTGCCAGTTGCATGTTATGGGCACATCTAGTTATTGCTTACATGATTTACAAGCTCACAAAACATTATATTCAGAGATGGGGCCTAAAAGGATTATGGTAAATCAAGAGGATAAAATACTCAATCTGTTTATCAACATTTGTTTCTACAGTTTCAAACAGGATTTGCTGATGCTAAGCTCTGAGATAGAGGTGATCTACATTGATGTTTTCAGAATGTCCCAAGTCAAAGCAAAAGAGGCTTGTAGTTCTTGACTCCAAGGGATTTGTCCACCCTTTCAAACAGCTAACTTCATTTTAGCAACAGCTCTGCCTATTTCATTCTGAGACCTGAAGTATAATAGGTCACATAGTCCAGAATATTGCATTCATAGATCTAATGGGATACAGATGCACTTTCCTTTGCAAGACAATAGAAAGAAGGTGGAAGAGAATGAATATTGTTGCAAAAACATCTGAGCTGGAGATAAACTTTGAGTCATTAAAATATAAAAATTAATGAAGTCAAGAGCATAGTTGGGATCACCTTGGGAGAGATGAAAAGATAGAACAAGAGGGCCAGGAACCCGGTTGTGATGAACTTTGATGTTGATGGTCAAAAAAAGGACCATGAGCTTGAAAAGGAGTCAGAGTCATAGGAAGAAAACTGGGAGAAGGTAACCTTTTGGAAAGCCAGAGTGTTAAAAGGAGAGAGCAATAATCAGAGCTACCACATGCTGTTGAGTACACATAAAGGGGGTCTGAGAAATAGCCCGTGGCTTTACAAAGCACARGTCACTCCTTAGTCTCCTCCAATCTGGGACAGCTCTTCAGTATTTATATTTCATAATCTTTTGAGGCCTATTGGCTAATAATTTAGTAGATTAGCTTTCAATTTGGGCTCGTCTGATATCTTCTTGAGCTGACACTGAGTTCATATATTTTGGGCAAGAACATTCCAGAAATGATGTGTCCTTGGTGTGTTATAAAGGCAGGAACATGATATTGACATATCTTATTGCTGGTGCTGTTAATTTGGGAAAGGTGTTGTCTTCCAGATTTCTCCACTGTTAACGGACTATTTTTCCATTTGTATCAATAAGTATCTTGTGGTGAAATCCTTTCACAATTTGTGAGAAATCTGGCTTTTGTATTCTACGATATATTTATTTACTTGCTCAATTATAGTATATATATAAAAGATTTGCAAAATGGCTAACCCATACACCTACAAAAAACAAATTTACTAATCAGAAGTACATATTTTTATATAGATTTATTTTTTTCTTTAACTATTCAGCATACTGTCAAAATATCCTCTTCCAAAGTTATCTGGGTTAGTTCTTTTCCTTCCCCAACACCCTTTAGTGTGGTTATGTTGTTCATTTGTAATACAGTAGGTTCATTTTTCTATCTATCTATCATTGATATATCTATCTATCTATATTCATTTTAAGGAAAAAAGAAGCATCACCATGGTTTTAAGACTTAGCCAGTTACATAAAGAAGTACTCAGAGAAGCAGTATTCTCTCCTACCATCCTGCTCCTATTCCCACATACTTTTCATGTCATTTCTACCCATCTTCTATATGTACCCAATCCCACTAATTTCTGATGAAATCTTCCAGTATTTCTTTTGCACATTATATTTTCTTATATCTCCTTCTTGAAAGAGAATATGTTGTAAACACTGCTTTACTCTTAGTTTTACTTAATATGTCCCAGAAACCACTCCACATCAGCTACTATGCTGTTTACAGGTAAGTAAGGAGACAGACCTAAAGAGGTTGAATAACCTGTGCAAGGTCACATACCTAGTAAAAAATAAAGCTGAGATATGAACTCAAGAAGTTTTGACTCTAAAAACCAGACACTTTCATCTACATCAGAGTTTTTCATCCAGAGCCCTGGGCATATTCTTATAGGATCTTTAGGTTCTCAGAGTTATCTCAGATCTTTCTAAAAATTCATAAACGATGTTCTGGACCATCCGTATGACTGAGTATTTTATAACCAAGTCCTGTCAGATGTATTCACCGTCCATAGGATCTGAAGGTCATGAAACATCCAAAGTGAATATTACCCATGCAGTCACACATGGAAAGCTGTAGGGAAAAYAGAGTAGTTACCTGGCTGTGGCCTTGGCTTGCAATTCAGGGAAGGCAGGGTGGCCTTGCACCAGGTGGTCTATCTGAAAGATAAGAGTAATGGGTCAGTTTTATAGCTAGCTCCTCTAATCTATGTTTAAGGTAGAAAGGATACATTAAAAAATATGTTTCTTCCAGCTCTTTGTCCATTGAGAATCCAAGAACATTAAAAGAATAATTTGTTTCTTTCAGAACTAGCTTTCCTTAACGTAGTGTCAACCTCTGGAATTTATAAAACAAAAAGGTTTAAAGAGAAGAAATGAAAATCCCAAGGCTAAAATGGTAGTAGCAGGTAGCATCAGGTTCATGAAGGAGGAATGAGGAAGGAAGGGTAACTCAAGTTCAATGTGGGGGGTCTGGCTGTTAAAAGTACTATGGCTGGGTCACATCACTCCCCCTTCTAATCCAGGCTGTCACCCCAGGGCAGTGTCAAAACCTTGAATTACTCAGTGTGTTTTACTAATGTAGCAGCTGTGATGGAGGGGAAGAGGGAAGGAGTACTAGGAGGGAATCCCAGTTTAAAAAATATGAGGTGCCCCAGAGCTGTCAAGAGCACCTCCCTGAACAGAAAGGTTGTCCCAGGGGAAACCAGGGCAGCTCTCCAAGGACAGAAATGTCTGAACTCTGCAGATAATATCTTCTCATCTGAAATCACACATYTAGGATTTAATTCYTAATCCCTTGGATGGCTCTAAACAAAACAGCTTGTCCTGTGCACTGGGAACAGCAATGCTTCCCAGCTCCGCTCCTCCTGCTGTGACAGCCACACTGTGCTGGGGGTCCCTGAACCCAAGATGTGCATTTGTCCATGTTTACTTGAGTCTCTAGGAATCCTAAACAACCATTCTGAGGAATTTATTTTCATTCAAACCATGAACAGACTGGTGATTTTGGCTATTTTAGAGATAGGCTCTCTGAGCATGTTTCCGGAGAGCCAAGGCTGTATAAAAATACTCCTTCTGGGATCTGGCTCTGGTTCTCACCCGCTGTGTGACTCTGAGCTTGTCACTGCTTTGAACTCAACAACCTCCTTGACCTGTCAGCCTCCTCCTAAAATAGCCTCCTTTTAAAGTTCCATTGGATTGGTGTAGTTTTATGAAAATGTTTCAAATTAACAACTATTGGTCATTCCAGTGAAAAAAAAATCATGTAAGTTTTGAATATTTACTTCCTAGACGTTCAACTTTGGGTTACTGTGATGAGGCATATTCTAGACCCTCAAAGAATTTGTAAACTTGGGAGTGCATCAAGATGAACCCACTGAGATCATTAATGAATAATTAAAGGCATTACTTTTGATGCTATTTTTTTTTATGGGAGGTACTTGAGGAGTTTAGAGGAAGGAGATTTGAATGAGCTTACAGGAGGACATGTGTAGAGTAGCCATGAATGCAATTATTTAGTATTTACTGGATGACTAAAGTACCAGGAACAGTCCTCAGGCTCTGGGACACAGTGAAAAGGAATAATACAATATTTAGTAGCATAAAGTAAGGTAATCATTCATCATTTGGCAATTGTAGAGACATGAAGATGGAAAAAAACGTTTATGGTTGTAAGGATGGAGGGAATTGGACTACCTGCTCTCCTGGCATCTTACAGGGGTTTGATAAATATTTGTGGAATGAGTGTGGGATGAATGAACCATGGAAGCGTACGGCATGCTCAAACAACACTACATCTTTTTTTCTCGGTGATTCTTAACAAATTTCACCTTTGTATCTATTTGTGATGGGCACACATTAGTCACAGCATAAATGCATATTAAATTAGAGAATAAGTATAGTGGCAGAATGAGGGGAGTTGGGATAGACAGTGTATCTTGAAAGTCAGATAATGGTTCATACTTTTTTTGAATTGGAGCCATAGGAAATGACTTGGATTGAGGGAACAAAATGATGAAAAGATAAGGAAAATTTATCCAGCAGGGTGTGCAGAAGAGGGAGATAATAAGATATAGTGAGCAGGAAATGCAGCGAGGATCAGAAGCCAACAGTGGGAGTACAGGGCCCACACCCCAGTCCTTGCCCTACTGYAGTGTTTACCAAGTTCATTTACAATCCTTAGTGTCTAGTCTGTCTCTGATCCTGCACTCTGGGCACTTTCAAAATTATAGCCTCAATATGTCCCTAGAACAATGAAATGAATGAATGAGACCCATTTTGAGGAAAATAAAGCAAGCTTAGGGACAGACTAGTTACAGAATCTAAGAAAATCAGAGTCAGATGACTTTTAAATTTGGAAAAGGCAATGTGATTGTATAATTCTGCCCTTTTGTTTTCTGTTTTCTGGATGCCTTGACATCTGGGGCCTAGCTGACTCTGGAGGGGCAGTCTCTCCCAGGGCTGGCCAACTCCTAAAGGTGGTGAAAAGCTTTCCACCTTTTTCATATGAAAAACAACTAATTCAGAGCCTATCTCTGTACCCTGCCTTCCTCTTGGCTCTTGCATGGGGGTTCTTCTGTTTCTCTAATCCCAGCCAGATACCAGACACCAGCTGACAGCCCTTTTACCCCCCCCCCCCAGGAGCCTGCTGAAATAATACAAGGTGACCCACACCAAGCCTGCTTACTCTACCCTGCTATATTCCTTCCCAAGAAAACTAGATAAAGATTCTGGCCTGAGGTTGTTGCTCCCTCCCTCTTGACTCTTAACTGACCTTGATGCTGCCACAGGGTCAGGGTTTCTTCTCTTCCAGGGAATTGAGAATAACAAACTAGCTTTYCAAGGGCAACTGTCTCTCAGCCTGTTAGCCTCAGCTTAGGTGAAAAATAATAAGCAAGCCCACATTTTAAGATAAGGAAAAAAAACAAGTGCTTTGCCATAGAGTCTTGCTGTCTATCCTTATCTTCTGTGAAAACTTCAGAAGTTACTTAAACTCTCAGAGCCTCGTTTTTGTACTTCAGCAAAACGGAGACAATAAAATTTCCAAGATAGGGAAGGTTGTGGTGAGTGCCAATTATATAGGTGGCTATCAGTTCATAATATCTATTATGAAGAAGAATGGGTATAGCCCCAAAGTAAAAATGGTTGTGGGAACAGGATCCCAGTCCATTGTACTTTTTATTTTCCACAACATTTAGTGGTAAAGGCCTCTCTGATTAACAAAGGACGCGCCAGTTTGTCAAATCACTGAGTGCTCACTTCAGCAGTCTGGAAGTGTCTGTTCCTAGGGTTGACCTTAGAACTTGTGTTCTAATCTCTAATGCATTTAGCACAGTATAGAAGAACATGGTGTCCCACAAGTAGTATTTGTTTCCCAATGAGATAACCAGATTCACAACAACGACTGTCATTGCCAAGTGGTTGCCTCAGATATATACTGACAGAACTAGTCTAACTGCGACTTTTTCTTGTTTCTGCCATCTTCTCAGATTTCGGCTCCAAGAGCAGACAGCTGAAGAGTGGGCTGGAAAGCTAAACACTACTGGGACAGGAAGGAAGCTGGAGATGGTTGGAGGCAGGTCTTGCTCAGACCAAGATGGAAAAGTCACCTTACAGTGAATAACTTAGGATGTTGGGCCCTTCCTTGTCAAGGTAGCATCTGTGCTAGGAACATGGAGAARCAACAGTTCAAAACAGTCGAAAGCACAGATCATAAATGGGTAGTGCAAGGTGGCGTCTGGCCCACAGATGTATTTTATTTAGGATATATAATGTTTTATAAAACGAGCCAATATTTTTAAATTGGGAGCTTTCCCTTAAAGTCCCGATTCTGGTTTCTCTTGCAGAATTATTTCCCACATGGCAAGAGTTGGCTGAGTGATGGCTGGTCCTGCACACAGGCCTCCTCTCTCCAGCTGTGAGAGGTTGCAGGCTCCCCACCAMTCCCCAGCAAGGCACACCACCCCACCACTCCCCAGCAAGGCACACCACGTTTTATCCATTGCACTGAAGATACATTTCTCTGCAAAGGAAGGAACAAGAAATTGAACCACAGAGTACAGATGCAGGTGAAACTTCTCTGTGGAAGTGAGAATTATTCCTTCATTAATCTCTTTGCTCATTTACATGGTCTGACTTCTTTAGGCACTTGAGTTTCTGACCTTTGATATGGAAGAGAGAGGACAGGACAAGGAGTCCTGAGACCTGAGCTCAGGTCTGCCTCAGGAAAGACCTTGGGCCAGACCATCTCGGATTCTCTATGAAATGCTAATAAATCAATATGACAAATAGCCAAATGTGTGTGAATTGCAGAGGGAATTGCATTGCCTGAGCAACCAATGTTGCTAACAAAGATTTTGGAGGTAAAAACAAAACAAATTCATAAAASCAGCAAAACACCTCCTCTAACAAATGCAAACCCAGAATTTATTTCAAGAATCTTAAGTTCTATGGTCATTTAGCTAAAGCAAAGCTCTTATYACAAGATGACTTTCTTTCCTATTAAAATCAGTTTACATATTAGTCTTAAAGCTTTTACTGTGTCTTGCTGGCAAAGAAATCACCACACTTCTTTTAAAAATGCATTTAGCATTTTTCAGAACTGCTTTTTCTCTATTTACTTTAAGCTGTAATACCACTTTTTTCAAATCTAAGCCGTTTTAACTCTTTATTTATGTAAGTCGTCTTATTTGGAAACCAAAAAACTTGCTGATTTTTTCCTTCTTGAAATCCTCATAAGAATACAATGAAAAACAAAGTGCAATCTAGGCAACTTCTCTGTGCTACTGAAGAGGACTATGGGTCTCTACACTGAACAGTMCTGAAGAGTAACAAATACTCCCAAAAGATGAGATTAACAAGTGTTTCATTGAAACTTTAAGATCAGTTACCTAGAAGAACTCCACTTACTAGTGGAAAAATTCTGAGTGAATACATTGCTAGTTCAGTCAGTCTCATTCACCACCAAAGTTGATAACTTTGTAAATATTTAGTTTGCTAATTAATTTACATATTTATGAAACTAACATGATGCWTGTTTACCTTGTGCTATCCACTATTCTGAAAACTAAGGATAAAAATATAAAGAAAAGTCAAAAGTCTTTGCTCTCACAAAGTTCTGCCTACAAAGGGAAATGGGTGCTCCAAAATCCAAATATAGT